GGGAAAGAGAGAGGGAGAGAGAGCACATTCATGTAAGCCTCATTGCTTTTGGAAACTGAAAGCCTGAAGTGGTGATGAGAGATGAGCTGAGAGAGCTGAGCAACTTAAAAACAGCAGCATAAATGAGAACAATCCAGATCCTCTGGGTACAAGTGGAAAAGAACTAAGATCACTGAGAAAACACAGGGTGCTTCTAAATTATGTCAGTCTCAGGGCGGCGGGGGCGAAGGGGGAATCATCTTTCTTTTCCCTGCTTCAGTCTCCTTTGACAAACCTTGTGAAGCAGATCTGACACAGCTGCCCAGGATGAAAATCCGTAGGAACTGCCATAGAAATGAAGGGTGCTCTGCCCATGTTGCTTTCAGTAAGGTGACAGAATCTAGTCCCGGGAGATTTTCTGCCTCTCTGCCCTCCTATTATTTTAGTTAGAATTAGCTGTTTGCACACTGCTTTCCAGCTTTGGCAGTTTACCCTCTCCTCCATAACAGACCAAACCAAAATCCCAGATCCAACCTCTGCAGCTGTCTGAGAAGTCCTTATTCAGAACATGGACGTGTCTTAGGAGTTGCAGCTCACCAGGGCTTACTTTCCTACAGAGATCTTTAATTCATGATGCCCTAAAAATGACTACAGATGCTCTGATGAAATGTTTACTGAAGGAGAAGGAGAGATGCAGACAGATTCCACTGCATATCTTTCCCCCTTCAGACATGGATTGAGCATTAACACCATTTTTAAATTTTTCATATATATACTTTTACTAGTTATTTCCTTAGCTGTGCTGAGCACAGCAGCAGGAGGAGTATTTTCTCTTAGGGAAGACGTCCAAAATGAGCTAACCCAGGTTTTAAAAAGATGAAAACACATAAGCAAACAAAAGAAACCATGTGGTCCCAACTCCCAGTAATAACGAATTTATCCTTGCAAAAAACTTGGGTTGCTTTCCTGTGTTTTTCAGTGTCATCTCAGGGGATGGCTTCCTTGCCTTCTGTGCTTTCAACAGAACACAGTCTGCTTTTTTGATCAGGGCTGGCACAGTGCAGTTTGCTCCAGGTTTGTGCCTTAAGTGTTGCCTTTCCCTGTTTGTGTGGCCACAACCTTTGTCTAATCCTCCAGAAGATCTCTCTCAGTAAGAACGCGAGTAGTGACAGAAGCTATTAATGTTCTGGCTTCTCCATGTGACAGTGACCTGCTCTGCAGATCACAAAGAGCAAATACGTGCTAACTGCAAGAAAAGGAACAGCAATCATTTGTTTTGCTAGGTGAGCTTTGTTTGTGATTACTGCTTCTTTGGGGGACCTCAGAAGTAGAGTCTGCAAGGTGGCAAAGAGCAAGTACGTTGCCTGGGCAAAGCCGTGAAAGTAACCTCTGCTCTTGTTTGAAAGAGCCAGTTCTGAAACTGGAAGGAAATTTGAGTTTTGTACTTGAGCTTTTTGTAACCTTTGGAACAACAGAGAAAAGAAGACAGTAAAGGTGAGTATGGCAGAAGTAGCCATGGTGTGAAAGGCTGAAATAATCAGATAATGACTTCACCAAATGCAGGTGGGATAAGATGCGGTGCAGTCAAGCTGGGGAGCCCACGGGTGTTCAAAACAGATCACTACAAAAGAGCTTTTTGTACACTATAAAAAAGGGTACAGATAAAAAAGGGAATAGGAAAAAAAAACCCACTGCAGAGGAATATTCTATTCAAATCCCTTTCACTGTGAGGAACTCCTCTTGCAACCTTGATGCTAACAAAATTGGTCTCGGAGTGTATGATGGGATTATGTGTCCATATGATTCTGTTAGAACATGAAGTTTCTGGAATCGCTGCAACAAGCTGTGAATGGCGTAAACTGAGAAACCAAATGCAACGAATAAAAGAGTAGAGCTGTATAATGGTGACTGTACCACTTCTTAACTAAGCTGTAGACATAAGCAAATGAAGTAAAGTTTGAAAACCAGAAATATCCAGCAGTTGTTTTTATTTGTCGGTGAATTGCAAATGTTTCTTGCAATACTTTGTTTTAGTATCTTTTATGACATGGCTTTAAGGAAAGAGCATGGAAACGCTTGAGAATGCATGAGAACACACATGCACACACAATTGTACTTTATGATCACCTTGTATTTACCATAAACTCTGATTGGTAAGTATTTAACACATGGATACTGCTTCTTTATTACTGCGCGTGCAGTTTTGTGCAGGACATTCTCAACCGAGAGTGTTTTACATTGCACTTGCTTTGCACCCACGTAAATAGTTACCCAGGGTCCAGAGTCTCCTAGCAGAGCCTAAAAGAGGGCTTTCTATCCATGGTTTCCATGCCTCCCCAAAGCAGTTCTTCAGCTCTCACGCTGTTTTCTAATGGTCAGAAAGACTGCCTAGTAAAGTGTAATCCATCTGCTGGTCAGGCTGGCAGATCGTCATGACTAGTTTTTATTCTTTCTCTGTTGCTGTATGCATGCACAGTAGTAGATGGAGTTTCTCTGTGCATGCTCTTATAACCTGGTTTAACACTTGCACAATGTATCATTGAAAACGCTCTCCTATATAGTTTACTCCTAGACTCTTTATATTGCATTCAAGGTGCAAACCCCCCGAAAAAGGGTTTTCTAGACACCTTGTTCCATTTTCATCCTTGCCTTGTTGAAGTATCAACTTCTATACGTTCCCTAACAAAATAATCTTGCCCGGAAACTTAGGCAACTTTGCTTTTTATTACCGAAAGGCTGTTATTTGGTTGCGTCTTTTTCACTCTGTAGATTCACTGGGTCCTTCTCGAGGTGGGAACTATCCGAATTTCTCAGCAGCATAACGATCTAATTCCAGCACGTTTTTCAGTGACTTTGCACAGTGGGCAGAACTTTGTTGAACTCAGCAACTTCCAACGAATTAAACAACTTGCCTCTTTTTTGCAGCCAGTAACGTAATGGTAGCGTACCGATAGTTATTTTAGATGGATAAAGCTAACTGGCTGCAGAGTAGCTTAGAGTTTATTTCATAGCATAATGTGTGCAGCAGGCAGCACCAAGGAGGAAACCGAGACGTTTTTTGAGTCATCCCCCATGCCACGCAGCCCCCGCTGCAAAAGCACAGTGGGCTTCCTCCTGCCCTGGCTTCTTTTCACGAGCGGCAGCAAACCACCTGAATTCATCTGCATATTCACATGATCGCAAATAGGAAACAGCCGGCGGCCTGGCGGCAGTTGCTTAAGTACCCTTCACCTATAAGGAAAAGCAGGTAGGGGAGAGTGACTGGGACTGCCGCTCTCGCTCGCTGCATGCCCCGGAGCCCT